TATGCACTGCTGCCCAGGACAACAGCCACCCACGCCTCTGTGACAAGAGGACTGAGACCTGAACGGTAACTGATCCAACCTCACAAGTAGCTGGTGGTACAGCACTGTGCAGCCCCGAGAGCAGCCACTAGGAAGGAAAACAGGTGCAGGTGGGAGTAAATGTAATAAAAGTCAAAACATCTGAGAGGCCCTGGTGGCATAGTGATTAAGTGTTCGGCTAACCAAAAGGTCAGCAGTTTGAATCCACCATTCGCTCCTTGGAAATCCTATAGAGTAGTTCTACTCTGTCCTATAGAGTTGATATAACTCAGAAGCGACTGGACGACAATGGGTTTTCACAAGAGAATCAGAACAAGAAAAAATTCTGGAAAATACCATTTTAATACTTAAGAAGTCCTATAACAAAAGGTTACCCGTCCTTTAGAAATGGACTTTATGTATAAAACACGAATATAAATTTACTTTAGCATGACATAAAAGCAACATACAATACTCTGCAAAACACACCAATTATTGGCGGTCTAGTTTACGCTATGTTCACCTGACTTCACTTGAGACGTGAATAACATGACTAACACGGAACAAAAGGCAGAACACGCGCACACCCGCGTGGCACACACAGGGCGGCGGAGGGCTGGGGCGCCTCACAGAACACGCGCCCCGTTTCTACGCCCTTGGAGCGGCTTTTCCTTCTCACTAGTCTCCACACCGCATCCGTGGGAAGTTAAAGTGAGCTCAGGGAGGAAACGTGCCACGGTTCGTCAGGGCTGGGTGGCTTGTCTTTGCTTCCACAGTCTGTTCTTTTTTCTTTAACCACGTGTGTTACTGTTTTACTCCAACAGGCGCAGCGAGAATAACGTTGAGGCTGTTCTTCATAAAGGGACACACGACCTGAATGACAGACATTGGAAACATCTGAACACACCAGGCACAACAGACCACCTGTCCTTCAGCGCGCGTGAAGCCGCGTGACGATGACCTCGCAGCACGGGGTTGTGGCCTCCGGGTTGGTGCCGTCTCTGAGAGAGGTCACAGGGTGGAGGGTGCTTGGAGGAACGTGATGTCCCGCCTGGGTGGGAGGGCACTGAGCAGGTCCTGGCCGGGGTCCCAGGCACAGTGTTTCCGTGGGAGCGCTGCTGGGGGAGGGAGCCAGCACTGAGGATCACACGTGAGCAGAAAGCTTCTTTCTCTCTTCAAACTGTCTGTCTACCGCCAGGGACAGGGCCTGGAGGAATCCCTCTATCGTGACGGTGGGGGCCTGGAAGGGACACAGAAATCACAGATGGCCCGACCTGGGCTGGGCTGCCCCGACCCGCACACACTGTGAGGGGAGTTGGTGGCGGGTTAGTGAAGGGGGGTCTGTCAGTGAGGGCCACTCCGGCTGCACACAGAGCAAGGGAGGAGTCAGCTACACGTGAACTAAGCAGTGAAGGTATGTGCACACATGTGGGAGCATGTGCATGCATGCATGTGGAGGAATGTGCAGGCGTGTGTTTATGTGGGTATGTGTGTGCAGTCAGAGACAGGCAGCCAGCCACCGTCCCCCAGAGGACTCGGCCCCCCAAGGCTCCAAGGTCAGCCGCTGTGCCGGGGCCTGCAGACCCTCCCCACCAGGAGCCGGCTGCAGGGTGTGACAGGGCGCTGTCCCAGCAGCGGTGACGACGCAGGGGCAGGCCTCACCTGCACATACAGCGCGTGGGCCAGGAAAGGCAGCTTCCGCAGGACCCGGCCACTGAGCCCTTCGCTCTTCCTGTTTGGAAACAACCGCAGTCAGGGAGTGGACCACGTGGACGGCCCGCACACCTCAGGACGCATCTGGTCAGTGTGGAAGCAAGTGTGGCAGCTGTCTGGCAGTGCCTGCAAAGTCTTTGCTCACAGGGCGTCTGTCCACATCCCCTGGGCCCCACACGCAGTTTCCACGTAACAGAGGGCGAGATCCACTGACAGCCTGATGGTGCTGACTGTCTCCCCACAGAACCCCTGGAAGAGGACGCACTGAGCAGCTATGCAGGCACCATTGCACCCGATGCAGTGTCCCCAGATGGGCCCAGTGACCGGGTGTCAAACTTGCCGGGAGGCTGGGTGCCACGTGGGGCAAACCCAGCAGGAGTGGCCTGTGCCCCTGGAGCCCAGCAGAAGGGGGTGCTTGGCCTGTGGGTGACCTGAGTCCCTGCCTCACCTGCACCCCTTCCCTCCAGCTACCCCTCTGCTTCTCTCGTGCGTCCACTGCTCAGGAAACCCCACGCCAGCCCCCAGCCCCACAGCCCCTCCCTGAGGCTCTATAGCATCTCTGACTCTGATGCGCTGTTGGCACAGCTCAGTCAGTGCACACAGACGGCCTGCTCAGCAGGAACCTGGACGAGTGAAGGAATGAATGAGCCAACGGACGGACTCCCTGAATCACCGGGCTGGGTATAGTCTCTGGACTGCCCCCGTGCCACCCACCTCAGCCCACATCTGCCTCCAACAGATAGTCACAGATGTCTTACATGCCGCCCCTCCCCCTCTCTCATGTTCACAGCCCCCCATGGCCCCCACCCGCGTGTCACTGTGTCTCCTCTGCTTGGTGAGGCCCCCAGGCCCCGCCCACACATCACTGCGTCTCCTCTGCTTGGTGAGACCCCTAGCCCCCGCCCACACATCACTGCGTCTCCTCTGCTTGGTGAGGCCCCCAGCCCCCACCCACACATCACTGCATCTCCTCTGCTTGGTGAGACACTCCCAGACACCCGCTGTGCCCTCCCAGCTCCTCTGTGACCACCCGGCTCCTAGCAGCCTGCAACGCCTGCTCACTCCCCGCCTTCCCTTCTGTTCCCCTATCAGGAAAGGCACCCCCTCTCTTGGCCTGGCCCCTAGGAGCCCCCTCACCACAGACTCTCTAAGGCAGGCTGTTCTCTCAGCGCCCCCCACACCCAAGCACCAACACAAGCCCTGCAGTCACTTACAGTTACATGGTCTACACTGCTCCTCGCTCATCTCTAGATACCACCGTTTAAGAAGCCGTTTCTGTTATCGACCTCTGTCCTCCAGCCCTCCCCTAGATCCTCAGGCCGTGGGGGGCCATGCCTGTCCTTGAACCCCAAGCCTCCCAGGCGGGGTTTCACGGCTCAAAAGGGGGTCAGTCACCTTGAGATCTCGCTCAGCAGGAGGCTCAGCCTAGACACGTTGTTCTCGATGAAGCCGATCATCTCCAGCTCCCGCAGGGTCAGCAGCTGCTGGCGAGGGTAGATGATCTGACACTAGAGCAGACACACACGGTTATGGGGACGTTTCTCAGGACAGACATCCACGGTTATGGGGATGCCCACGGGGGGGTCTCGGGACAGACACGCACGGTTACAGGAACGTCCACAGAGGGGTCT